GCAATAGGGGGACACGGGAGTGCCTGAAAGAGGGCCGTGTCTTGGGAGCAGTCAGCAGGGAGCTGCTGGGGCATTAAAATATGAAACTGACATGACTGGATTTACAAATTCTTTTTTTTTTTTAAGTTTCTCTCTTTTGAGAGAGAGACAGTGAGAGAGAGCGGGGGGAGGGGCAAACAGAGGAGGGGAGAGAGAGAACTCCAATCTGCGCTATCAGCACGGAGCTCAATGCAAGGTTCAAACTTACCAACTGTGAGATCATGACCTGAGTAGAAACCAAGAGTCGGACACTTAACTGACTGAGCCACCCAGGTGTCCCTGGATTTACAAATTCTAAAAAGAGTCTTTGGCAACATTATGGAAAGCTCTGGTATGAGTCCAAGAGTGAAATGAGCGCTGGGTTTTACCTGCCTCTCCTTTCTCAGGAGACGCTCTGTCCTCCTCCGTCTTTCCTCATCCCAACCACTACGGCCCTCACCATGTTCTATGAGATCTATGTCGCTGACCAGACTGTGAGTTCCAGGGGGGGTGATTTACTTATTTCTCTATTTTCCATGTCTAGCATGGTGCCTAGCACATAGCAGACATTCGACAAATAACTGTTGAGCTGAAAATCAGCAAACTGTGACTTCATTAAACATAATTTGGGGGAAACCATAATCCTCCCCCTTTTCTTCATATGACTTCACAAAGTCAGCCAGTTTAAGTACCTTCATATCTGCTTTATATAAAGGATGCCTACAATACGTAGACATGAAAACCTTTTTTTAGGAAATGGTATATTGCTGGATTTGGTATTCAAATGTGACAGGTGTCATCTAAACGCCTATCCGATGAAGATGAATTAGCTGACCACACTGCCTATCACTCCTCTGGCCTCTGGCCAAAGCTGCATGCCTTCTGAAAACAACTCTGTAAAAACTCAGATCGACACAGTGCTGAGTCTGCAGGGATTTCTTTTTTTTTCCCCAGAAGATGAGGATTAGATACTCAGAAACTTCCACAGGAGATTCAAAGGGAGGTTCAAAGGAAATGCCGTACTCTTGAAGAACTTTTAAGTATTACAAAGTTTAAAGTACACATTAGAACAACTGCTTGAGTGGATTAAAGAACTTTTTAAGGAAAGAGTTCTCACTTTTGCTTGGCCTCTTATACCCTCTCTATCATTTTAGTTATGTTTGACTTAATTGAAGGTTTTCCCAAATGGCAGTGATATTTTATGTAATTTATATAAATGATCAAATGAAAATGAGGAAAAAAGACACCAAGCACTGAACAAGTCTATCACTTTGAAGCAAACCAAACTCAATCTCTGAGTAAAATATTAAACCTCTGAAGAAGCTGGCTTCTTCCTGGTAGAGTTTTAGGCTCAGAATGGCTAGGGTTCAAATCCCACCTCTCTCAATTCATTTTTGTCAGCATTCAACAAACATTTCTTGAGAGCCTACATGTCAAGACTGAACTAATGCTGGGAATACACCAGTGAACAAAATGATTTCAGTGCTTACATAGAGCTTACATTCCAGTGACTTCTAGACAACCACGAAATGTGTGATAAGGGAATGCTTCATATCCTAACTAAACCTCATTTTTAAAACATTTCTAATGTTTTAAACATTAGAAACATTTCTAATGCTGATAATACCTACCTTACAAAGTTGGCACAAGCTTTGAGCATAATGTACAGAAAGTGTCCGGATTGGTGACGGGGGCACAGAGGTGCTCAATAAATGACCGTTCCTACTAGGAACAACTCACTAAGAGCCCCCTATAGATTCTTTTTTTTTTTTTCAACGTTTATTTATTTTTGGGACAGAGAGAGACAGAGCATGAACGGGGAAGGGGCAGAGAGAGAGGGAGACACAGAATCGGAAACAGGCTCCAGGCTCTGAGCCATCAGCCCAGAGCCCGACGCGGGGCTCGAACTCACGGACCGCGAGATCGTGACCTGGCTG